AGATTGAAAGGAATGAAAGGCTTATCATACTTAAAATATCAGAAGCAACGAATGGTAGAATTCCTGAACAGAAACCCGAATATGAAAATCATTGTTGAAGTAGATTTGGCGTTAAAGAACACTGACAACGAAGAGATACGACGAAGGCTGAGAAGCAGGAGATACAATGTCCATAACCCAGAAGAGATAAACAGTGTTTTAAACAACATAGCCCACGACATAGAGGTTCAAATTGAGATAGCCGAATTCATTCAATCGGGTCTTGTTCTTCTTCAAGTTCAAAGTCTGGTGATAAGTTATGACAGATACAATCCTACCCGTGGCTCTTCTTATATTCCATTGCCCGACTGGGTGGCAAACAAAAAGGCTTGTATCAATATTAAAAACAATGATGAGTTGTGTTTCAAATATTCTGTTCAATGTGGTTTTTATGAGATATACAAAAAAGACCATCCCTGTGATATGTATCATTATAAAAAATATGTTAATGATAGTTTCATCAAGTGGGACAATATAAACTTTCCTGTAGGCAATGATGAGATTGAACAATTTGAAGAACAGAACAAACACATATCGGTCAATGTTTATTACATCAATCCTGATGCCAATAGTAAAACAATTTTATTATACAAAAGAAGCAACAACCCCCAAGCACAACAAAAGATTGATTTAATAAAGCTGACTGGAGAAAATGCCAACTCGCACTATGTCTACATCAAGAACTATAACAAGCTGATGGGAAGCCAAACCAACAAAACAAATAGGAAAAAACATCATTGTAGGACATGCTCACACGGTTTCAAGTCAGAAGAGTTATTAAAACAACACGAAGAACAGGGTTGTCTAGCGGTTGAAGGACAACAAATAGAAATGCCAGAGGTAGGAGCTACCATTGAATTTAAGAATCATTTTAAGAAACTGAAAGCGCCTTATGTCATATATGCAGACTTTGAATGTCTAACAGTACCCATTGATGTTAAAAGCAAATCGACAAAAGCGACAACCACATCATATCAAAATCATCGTCCTTGTGGTTTTATGATTAATGTAGTCAATGCCATCACTGGAAGCAGTGAGCCCTATTTATACAGAGGCGAAGATTGTATGGATAAGTTCGTTGAGAAAATGAATGAAGTCAGAAATGATGTAATAAAGAAAATGAAAGAAGTGAAAGAGATAATCATGACTGAGGACGATAAAACAGATTTTGACACTGCTACTAAGTGTTTCGTTTGTGGAAAGGGCTTTCAGGAAGGGGATAAAAAAGTTAGAGATGGGTCGGAGACCCAAGCACCACTTTCCGACGGACGTCGGAAAGTTCGCGACCATTGCCATTTTACTGGTAAATATAGAGGTTGTGCTCATGATGATTGTAATCTTGCTTTCAGTATGAGATATTATAAAATACCAGTCTTTCTTCATAACCTTAAAAACTATGACGCTCACTTAATCATCAACAAGGCACACGAACTGAGCAAGAATGCTAAAATCGATTGCATCGCACAGAACAGCGAGAAGTTCATAACCTTTGGTTTTAAAAACCTTTGTTTCAAGGACAGTTTTAGCTTCTTATCGTCTTCGTTGGATAAGTTGGTCAGGTTGAGTAAGTACGGGAGTGCTTCAGACACGACCGAAGCACTCGCTTCGCGAGGTGATAAAAGGCGTGAGAACTGGAAGAACAATTTTAGATACAGTGTTAGAAATCCATATGTTAAAACCGATGAAGATTTGGACTTGTTGACTGACAAGGGGATTTATCCTTATGACTATTTTGATAGTTTTGACAGATTTACTGAAAGAAACTTACCATCAAAAGAAGCGTTCTACAGTAAATTAAGTGAGGAACATGTCAACGACAAAGATTATGAAAGGGCACAAAAGGTTTGGAAACACTTCGGTATCAGAACATTAGGACAATATCACGATTTGTATTTGAGAACCGATGTTTTATTGTTGACTGATGTTTTTGAAAACTTTAGAGACTTATGTATGGAATACTACGGTTTGGACCCCGCTCATTATTATACGCTTCCTAACTTCGCTTGGGAAGCTATGTTGTTGAAAACAGGTGTTGAAATTGAACAGTTACACGATAAAGAAATGTATGAGATGGTTGAAAAGGGAATGAGAGGAGGCATGTGTCAGGTCAGTCATAAACTGGCTATGGCTAACAATAAGTATATGGATGAAGCCTTTGATGAAAGTAAACCGTCAAGTTATATCAATTACTTAGATGCTAACAATCTGTATGGTCTGGCGATGTCTCAAAAATTGCCTTTAAAGAACATCAAATGGGCAAAGAAAACACCTAACATTGAAAAGTGGGATGAAAAAGATGAGTATGGTTATATTATGGAAGTTGATTTGGATTATCCAGAAACACTACACGACTACCATTCGGACTATCCACTAGCACCGGAAATAATGAATGTCAATGCTAATATGTTGTCAGACTATCAAAAGGAAATCTACAAAATCTACTATGGAAACAAAGAACCGAAGGATGAGAAAACCAGCAAGTTAATATTGAATTTGAAAGATAAAGAAAAATATGTTGTTCATATCAAGACTTTACAGTATTATCTAAAAATGGGTATGAAACTCACCAAGGTTCATAGGATAATAAAATTTCAACAGAGGGCTTGGTTGAAACCATGGATTGACTTCAACACTGGTAAGAGAAAAGAAGCGAAGAGCGACTTTGAGAAGGATTTGTTTAAATTAATGAATAACGCGGTGTATGGAAAAACTATGGAAGACAAAAGAAAACATATGGATTTTGAACTGGTAGATAATGATGTTAGGTATGAAAAATGTGTGAATAATCCTACATTCAAAAATAGATTTATCATTAATGAAAATCTTGTAGGAGTGGAAAAGACAAAGTCGGTCTTGAAATTGGATAAACCCATATTCTTAGGAATGACAATATTGGATTTGAGTAAATTACATATGTATGAGTTTTACTATGGTGTGTTGAAAAAGAAATACAACGAAAATATCAAATTGATATATACAGATACTGACAGTTATGTAATTCAAACCTTCACGGATGATATCTACAAGGATTTTCAAGGTATCAAGCAACATATGGATTTTAGTGATTATCCTGTTGAACATCCATGCCATGACACAACAAATAAGAAGGTCTTAGGAATGTACAAAGATGAATGCTCTTCAAAGATAATTACAAAGTTTATAGCACTCAAACCAAAGTCATACGCTTTCACAATCCACGGTGAAGAAGAAGAACATAAGAAATCTAAAGGTGTTGTTAAACATAAGGTTAAAAAGGAATTAACATATCAAAACTATGAGGAATCACTTTATCAAAACAAAAAACACGAAATCTCCTACAACTTCATCAGGAGTCGCACTCATCAGATTTATTCGATGTCTCAGGTTAAACAAAGTCTAAGTAATTTCGAGAATAAAAGACATTATTTTGATGCTTTTAATTCAATCCCGTATGGACACTACGCTATTGCGAAGCAATAGCCTAGTGAGCTTCGCGACACTACACAACAAAATAAATATCTAAATAATTCTAATAATATGAAATTATTAGAATTATTTAGTGGAGGGTTTGGGCTTGGGCTTGAAACTTGAAATTGGGGTTGTTGGTGATGAGCTTGAAACTGATTTGTGTGTCTCCTGACCCAGTATTGAAACCTGAATAGTGCCAGTATTGAGTATTGAATACTGGATACTGCCAGTATTGAGTATTGAATACTGGATACTGCCAGTATTGGAAACTGAATACTGCCAGTATTGGAAACTGAATACTGCCAGTATTGAAAAAACACAGTTCAATACTGCCAGTATAAAAAAAAAACAGCTGAATATAAAGACAAACATAAGGACTGGTTTAAGCAATATTACAAAGGCTACTCCCCATTGTGTGTGGTGGATTTTCCTCATTGTGTATGGGGGATTTTCCCCATTGTGTATGGGGGATTTTCCCCATTGTGTATGGTGGATTTTCCCCATTGTGTATGGTGGATTTTCCCCATTGTGTATGGTGGATTTTCCCCATTGTGTATGGGGGATTTTCCCAATTGTGGGTGTGGTTCTTCGTGTTCCCTAACCAACAATTCAAATAACTTAAAGAACTATTAACTTATAATATTAAGAAGTGAAATGCCAATGATAGGAGTGACAGAAAAAGAGCTGGAACAGGATAGAAAGATAATATTGAGTTTCATTAAGGATAATCCCTATCCATCATATAATCAAGTCATTGAAATAATTAAAAACGATAAAACAATGGAAGATATATATCTAGATATGTTCGCCGAGTATGGAGAACAAAATCATCAATGGATAAAAGAGATTTACGAAAACATAATGAAAGAAGAACTCGTTAAACATAATGGTAATAGTATTAATGAAAGAGGAGGAAAGACAACAATGCATTGTAATTATTATACTTTGATATCAGTGTTGCGTTATTTAATACAACAAAGAGCACCAATGAAAGATTATGACGTTAACTTAATCTGGTATAATATCAGAAACATCTTAAGCAGTTCTTGGAACAACATAGGAGACTGGAAACACTGAAAACAGGTTTAATCATATTATCTATAACTAAACCATAATTATATCATTTATATTCTTATATGTTATAATTATAGTGAACTTTTAATCTATACACATTTCATTAAATGACAAACCACAACAACCGCCCAAAAGCCAACCCGTGAAACCACAGAAAGTCCTATCCTCTTTCAATCAATAAAACTAAAAGTTGAAATCTGGAACGAGACAGGGGACCAAATCATCAATTCGTTACCACATCCATATCGTTATTTAATGCCCCCAAAATCAGCCTTGAAAAAACGAATAAGGTGGTACACGTGTTGAATTGTGAAAAAGAAAACAGAACAGGCAACCATCAACCCCCCACCCCCGAGGACCAGCCCTTTCTACATTTTTCCCCCGCCCCCCCCCGCCCCCCCCCGCCCCGCCCCCCCCCGCCCCGCCCCGCCCCCCCCCGCCTTTTGCAGGATCTCCTCCCTAAGCGCGTCGATGGGCAGCTCCTGACGTCCGGTTACACTTACCGGATGGGGCAGAGCCTCCGGGTTTTTTTAGTTCATGCAAAAAATAGGCCCCAAACGGCCAAGCCCTTGAACATGCGCCCTTTGCGGAAGAGAACTGGTCAACCCTTGAACACTTTGGGGTCGACAAAGCCCGTTCCAAAACAACAAAGCACTCTAAAAGTCACGCTGCTTTGCTCGTATCAAACATTGCCATCAGAAAAAAAACATGTACAATTCGCAGTCCAGAAGGCACTCAAGAGAATGCGTGTAGTTGATATGCATCCAGGTGATGCTGTAGACAAACCGAGTTACTGCGATTTGACCGCTAGGATTCAGCACCACTCAACAGCACTGGTTCGAAATGGCATGTCAGCTATACATCGAATCCAGCACCTCCAGTCAAGCCCTAAAGAATACACCCAAGTCCAAGCCCGGTTGCAATCATGTCAGTCCTCTGCTTCAGCCTTCGCCCAGGCTTCTGCCTTCAATGCCTCATCTGGATCTTCATCCCACAAATCCTCCCAAGATTCCGAGGTTTCATTGGCCAGCTCAGCCAGATCCGCCAGGCTCCGTGGCTCAAGCCGCGTCTTTGGCAAGGCTTCTCTTCGCGCCCAAGCGTCTGCTCTCCACGCCTCTTCTGGCGCCTCCCGCCACAGGCGGTCATCCGCCAGTGCCCAGGTGGCTTCCTTGTCCTGCTGCAGCATCTGCCATAAGCCCTCAGCCTGGTTGCGCCAATCCTCCCCGTTCTTCTCGTTTTGTGGGCCCTCGAAATCCTTGGATTCAGCACGGGGTGACGCGGTCTCAGTCTGGCCCGGCACAAACCACATTGTACCAGGAGGAGCTCTCCTTTCGCGCTCCCAGGATGCAGCATCTGCTCCTTCCGCTTCTACCTTTGTCTCTTCTACCTTGTCCGACTCTGGTGCCTCTGGCACATCAGCCTCATCTGACTCATCGGACTCATCTGACTCACCTGAGTCGGATTCTTCTGGCTCCTTTACCGCTGCCTCTTGCTCTGCCGCGCTACCTGGCAAGCTGACAAACTTGTTGGCACCTGCTGACAACGGTTCAAACGCTCAATGGTTCACTTCAAATTGCCAAACAATGCGAAAAACACGACATGAAATGAACATGGGGTACCAACTGCAAACACACACACACACACACACACACACACACACACACAAGGACATGTTGATCATCGGATTTGTGCTCGTCTGGGTCCGGCACCAAGACGAGCACTGCTTTCCGGCGCCTGCCAGCTGTTGGCGCCACTCGCTCTGCGCGTACGCATGGAAGACATCTCGTAGACGGCTTGTACTTTTGCTTAAGGGTGCACCTTTGTGAGGTGGCAACCATTTGCGCGGCTGAACGGTGCCCAAGAATTGGCTCGTTCTAAAGCAGTATCCAAAAGAGGATGCATCCTCATGGAAAATGTTTTGTTCCTCCCCCTTGCACATGTTACCAAGCATTTTTGTTGCAGTTGGCGTCGGCCTAAGGGAAGGAATGAAACGTGAGCATGGAATCACGGCTCTGCCTTTAAGCCTGCTGGGCAAAGAATGGAGCCCCTTTGGGTTTCTACACCTAGGGAGACTGTGGGACCCCCGCTCCTCCAAAGGGGAGCATCCACCCTGGGTCACCTCTCATGAACATGTTCTCCACTTGCTTGACTGCAGGGCCACTTTGGTTGCGGTGGGCCGGCCCTACGCGTGTGTTCTCGTGCGGTGACCGGTGTTGGCCAAGGCCAAAGAGTGAACATCGGCCCGAGGGGTCCCCAATTCCATTGACCCGGTCATTCCCAGGAACCTGACGTTTGGGGGCTCCTTTAAACGGAAAATGCTCGAAACCAGGAACCCCCGAAGGGCCTGTTCCTTGTTAGCTGGTAGGAGGGCAATTCTACACATGGCTGTGGGTCAAAATTAGGTACCTAAAATGGAACCCAGGCAAATAGAACTCAGGCCTAAAACCTGCGGCCCCCTGGTTGTTTAATTTTGACCCATACCCACATCGCTCCCGGATACCCCCCAAATCCATGATCCGGGGGGCTGGGAAAATCATAGGCGACTCTCCGACCTCGCTGGCCGCCAGGCAGTCCCGAATGATCTCCTGAAAGTAAACCCGGGCGGGCCCAACCTATCTTTAAGGGCTCCCTCCAAATGGGAGACTGACTGTTTTCAGCGGCCAGCAAGGATTGCGGCTCGAGTCAGCATTGCTCCCCCATGACATTGTCTGGCGATGCAAAGGTCGACCACTCTTCCACCTAAAGGTTGACATGAACGCTGCCCACAAATACACCGCAAGCTGCTTGATAGAATTGCGTCCCACCCTCGTCCGGTCCATTTTACGCTATCTGCACGGTGGTGAAACCAGTCACAAGTCATGCAAGTGGCATTGACAGGCTCACACTGCCTGCTGCCTCTCTAGCACAGACTCCTCAGATCTTGCGGTCCTGGCCAACCGCGAAAGCCAGCGGGTCGAAACGAACACTGATACCATCTACACGCCGCACGCAAAAAAACGTGGCCGAATCAAGCCATGAGCCAAACCCTGAGCTTGAACTGCTCCCCCGAAAGCAAGAAATAGCTGTGAATGATCGAACATTGCTAAACTTTGCGGGTCCTACTGTTATCGGATTTTAGCAATCTTCCCCTAAAATTGAGAAATACGGTTGAGAGCATCAATCCAATACGTGTCATTGTCCTTAATTTCCAGGTGTTTGGTAAACCAGTACATGACGAGCTGGTTCGCATGGCTATAAGCTTTGATGGTGAGTACCCTCACAAATGGTTGGCCACAAACCCATACGTAAATGATATCCACAGACTGGTGCTCAGTAGGGAATGAGGGAATGAAGCCAGGGGGTTCCCTGAAAGAATGCCACCAGTTGAATGGTCATTCCGATTCTCATTCCCTGCTTATGGCACCAGCAACTGATATCCACCAAAGGGTCTGAAACCGAAATTCCGCGCGGCAAGGCAAGCAACTCGGCTCGGCAGGTCCTTGGCGCCGCGGAACAAGGGCTCCGCTTGCGCGTTCACCTGCTACATTCAAAAAATCCGACATTTGGGATGGCGACGACACGTCCAAGCCGGGAAGATACGGGATGGTTCTAGGGGTACCTTCCCCATTCTTTCTAGGCATCCTATCTAAAAAACCACCCAAAACGGCAAAACGTTGGGGAAACAGCGATCGGTTTTTCAAAAAAGAACCATGGTTGAAAAGAATGGACAAGGAATCCACCCATAGAATGGTGTGAAGTTGCTGGACCCCACTGGGTGGAGCTGCGCAACCCAACCACCTCGAGCTCTGCCGACTTTTGGATCGCTGCTTCAAAGCCACCAGCTCCCGAACTTTCCCGCCTGGCACACCCCACCCGAACATCGAGTGCCGAAAAACTCCCCACGTCTTTCCACTGCCCAGCCTCCAGCGGCTCCTTGTTCTCATTCAAACCTGACACATCCCCTTCAAACGCGGAAATCAACAAGCCCGCATTGATACACAAAGCGATGCAGTCGCAAGCATACGGAAAAAACGAAAAGCAAAAAAATGATCAGAATGGAAACGCATTCCAATCCGTCCGGGATCAGTCAGCGTGGACTGAGCTTCTGTGAGGCGATTGGAGTTTCCCTAGTCCGAATGATGGACAAATAGAAAGCTCCGAGTGGTAGCTGGTAAAAGCTTGGCTGAAACCAGTGCTCCATCTATGTTCAACCAAACTGATCTAAAAAGGAGTCCTATGCTCACAACGCTTAGCCTGCAGCTGAGCAACCGCTTTCCAAAGGCGCGCTCTCAGGGCGCTCTGGCTGTGACATGAACCCATCATAGCCTCAGCACCATCTCCAACGACCCCAAAATCCCAAAGCCCGTGACACCAGGTCTGTTAAACCCCGAGTCCCCAAACGCAAACGAGGCCTATTCAACAAGTGCTTAAGGGATCCACTAAGTTGCACCGGTGAGTTCAACGGGCCAATGTGCAGGGGCGCGAAGGTCCAAAGAAATGCCTGGATCGGTTCCTCCAAACTGGGGGCTCTCGAAAACTATGTGGATTCATACGCTAGAGTGAATTCAAGCGCCCGAGCGATTCCATCTGAATCTCCGATTTTGAAAAAAATGTTAGTTTGGGACCCCTTTTGAACGAAGACGCAAGCGGAAACTCCTGAAATCCCTCTAGACCCTATTCATAGCCTGCCGCCAAGGAATGTCTAGGACGGATCTGGTTGTTGGGGGGAAGGGATTTTGATTTCCCATGGTGCTTCCGTTTGCGGCCGAGGGACTCTTGAAGAAGAGAGCGCCGAAGACCAGAAGCAAAGAAACCACCTGCAGGCCTGTGACGTGGTGACCATACTGAATATAGGAAGTCACGATGGAGAACCTGGCGCCGAGCTGTGGCCGTTTTCGGCCAGAAAACACAGCCGCTGTTGTTGTGCCGACAGCCAGAACACAAGCCCCACAGTTCAATGGGGGAAAAATGTTGCACAACAAAATGATGTACCAAGTTTGGACTATGAATTACTCCCTCTTTTGATATTGGCAAAGGAACGATAGTACACAATGTGTTACAATGTAGGAAACATTAGTTTTGTCATGCCTAATCATTCTTCTATAAATTGATCACCATGTCACTCATCCTCGAACCAACAGTCAAATACTAAATGTGAGGTTGTCAGTAACACAGTGTGCAAAACTAGACAACTCAAAATTACTCTGTTTCGAATGCCTGGACGTCCTGAGCACAAAGCGGCTTCCAAGTGTGCGGGCAAAACTCAGCGAACATGTCTGCTCAAGCAAATGTTCGAATCCCCAAGTTCCAGAAGGGGGTCAGGTGTTTCTGATAACGCAATGTGTGTGAGCCTTTGCGGCTCTCCATTGTCCAAACGCAGTAGTTGCGAATTCAATAGTATGGGAGCCAATGATGGACAACACGACAAAAGGATTTTATTTCCTTTCTAATCTACCTAATGGAAGCCCGCTGCGATTCGATCATCATGATAAAACACGACGGGCTCTTTGTCTGCAACACAAAACAACCAATTCCGCTCAAACAATGAGCTACCAACCCACCCACCCACCCACCCACCCGCCCGCCCACCCGCCCGCGCCCGCCCACGCCCACCCACACCCACCCACACCCACCCACACCCACCCACACCCACCCACACCCACCCACACCCACCCACACCCACCCACACCCACCCACACCCACCCACACCCACCCCCACCCCACCCACCCACCCACCCACCCACACCCACCCACACCACCCACCCACGTCCCCACCCACCCACCCACCCACCGCACCCACCCACCCACCCACCCACCCACCCACCCACCCACCCACCCACCCACCTGCCCACCTGCCCACCTGCCCATGCCCCGCGCACCCATGCACCTTCACAACCATGCACCCATGCACTCAAGCACTCGCACAGTCACGCACGTCGGCACGCACACAAAGCTCCATCTACTTCTGCTCGTTTGCAGCCAAGCGACAACTGCCGTACGTTCATGGTAGCAGCAAAGACTACGGCGCCAAACTCCTTCACCTGCCTTAGCGGTTGACAGCAACCGCCCCGGAACGTACCAGTGCCATTTAGTCAAACAGGCACCGCACATCTGAATAGCAGCGAAGTCATGATCAGTTAAAATGTCTACCAAGTGGGCCAAGTGGGCTCAAGCATGTCTTTCCAAGCTGTCCTCAACGCTGACTTGCCAACTGCAAATGCCTCCGCCAGGTCATCTGTTCCTAATAGCAGCAGAGGTGGAGACCCCTGAGCAACTCGGCCATTTCCGTGAGTCGGGATTCCCGACAAAGGGCGCTTCCTTCAAGGGCCATCCCCTGCCCGCAGCGCCCGGTTTCGAGTTTCGAGTTTCGCAGAGCGTCGAGTAGATGAACCACTGGCTCGAGACCTGGCTGGGGCTGCACTTCAAAACGCCTCTCCCAAGCCCTCTTGCGGTAGCAAATGGCTGTAAACACATGGGTTCTATAGACACAATAGCTCGTTATCGGACAAGCTCAAAGTCATGTTGAACCCGTTGTATCCATGACCCCGACTCTGACTCTTACTGTCCGCGCGGCGCGGGCCCCAACCTGAGGTCCGTTAAACGTCTAACACGGAAGAAAACCCAAAACAAAAACTGCGGGATGGCAAACAGAGACCGCCTGGCATAAGGCTTGGGTCGGAACACGCCCAAAACCACGTCTCTCTTTTTTTGCACAGACTCGGGGTTGAGGAATCGACTCAGACTTCCCGGGCCTGTGCCGCACTGAGCACTGCCGCATCCCCCAACAACGCGGGGTGCTGCCCGGCGAAGCTCAGGGCCGAAGAGAAGGACCCGGTGCCTCGGAAACGGCGAGGGTCTTGCTGCGACGGAAGTGCCAGTGGCTTCCCTGTCTCTTCGGCTAGCATGGAAACCTCCCAAACAGGCCGCAGTTCAGCGCCTTGGTTTGTGGTAAAAGGCCCATGCCAGGCGTCAGAGATCGTCAGAGTGTACGCTGGAAGCACAGGCGCGACATGTTCGACCCGAAATGCTCAGGATCGATCGGATCGGGCCACTGCGCATCTTGCAGTTGCTGATTTACGGGGCAGTGCTTTCAGGCCCGTTTTCAGAGTTAGAAACATAAGCCTGACTTGACAGACCCAGGGGCTTTCGCTTCTGGCTGCAGCTGACTGAGGCGTGCGCTCAGAAGCGTGATCATCGATACAACGGCAGAGCAGGTGTTGACCCAAAGAATCTGATTGTACCTTACGGCAACCGCTGGGCTGGGCGCACCTAGCCAACCCAAGAATGTCACTACTCCGTCAAGAAAAAATAAAATGCAACCGACGCCCCAACAAGCTGAACAATCAAACGCACGGCTCAGGCAAGTGTATGCATATGAGACGCTTCGAAAGATTGTACTCTTTGAAGAGTTTCTCTTGCATCGGTGACGTAATGCCGTCCAACGCCAGGAAGAGAAGAAGCAGCAGTAGCCCTCAAGCCAGCGGATTGGCTAACTGCCAATGCACACGAACAAATCCGGCAAGGGTTGTTGTTGTTGTTGTTGTTGTTGTTGTTGTTGTTGTTGTTGTTGTTGTTGTTGTTGTTGTTGCTGTTGCTGTTGCTGTTGCTGTTGCTGTTGCTGTTGCTGTTGCTGTTGCTGTTGCTGTTGCTGTTGCTGTGCTGTTGCTGTTGCTGTTGCTGTTGCTGTTGCTGTTGCTGTTGCTGTTGCTGTTGCTGTTGCTGTTGCTGTTGTTGTTGTTGTTGTTGTTGTTGTTGTTGTTGTTGTTGTTGTTGTTGTTGTTGTTGTTGTTGTTGTTTGATGTTGTTGTTGTTGTTGTTGTTGTTGTTGTTGTTGTTGTTGTTGTTGTTGTTTGTGTTGTTGTTGTTTGTGTTGTTGTTGTTTGTGTTGTTGTTGTTTGTGTTGTTGTTGTTTGTGTTGTTGTTGTTTGTGTTGTTGTTGTTGTTGTTGTTGTTGTTGTTGTTGTTGTTGTTGTTGTTGTTGTTGTTGTTGTTGTTGTTGTTGTTGTTGTTGTTGTTGTTGTTGTTGTTGTATTGTTGTTGTTGTTGTTGTTG